GCGCTCACACTCTGCACTCACGCTCAATAGGTACCATATAGTAACCGCTGCGGCGTGCAGCCCGATCTATATATCGCTGCGGCGTGCAGCCCGATCCATATATAGTCGACTGCACTCACTGGGGGTGTGCAGACTCCGGGGGGGCTCCTACAGCCCAAGCGCTATATCGCTGCGGTGTGCATCCCGATCCATATATATATATATATATATATATATATATATATATATATATATATATATATATATATATATATATATATATATATTACTGCGGCATGCAGCCCGATCCATAGATATATAATCCTCACAACCAGGCCCTCGGCCTCTCTCAGGCATTAACCTCACAATCAAACTCTCAGTCTATCTCAGTCATCAACCTCACAATCAGACCCTCGGTCTATCAGTAAAATAGGGAACCCAGCCCAAACAGTTTTTACATTTTTAAGAAATATAGTGATAAAACCAGATATAACAATAACCAGGTAAAAATATGACCGAGGATATGCATTCTAAACAAATAGAGTGAGGAAAAATAGTAAAAATGCCCTTAAGGGTCTCAACAGGTCGGCACAAGGCCCCAAACATGGCATACAACCCAAAATATAATATCAATCTCTAGAACATGGAATATCATAAGGTTTCAAATCAAATACGCGACTTATCAATCGTACAGGACGGACCAAGTCACAAATCCCCAACGGTGCACAACTCCACGCTCGTCATCTAGCGTGTGCGTCACCTCAAAATAACACAACGATGTGTAATCCGGGGTTTCAAACCCTCAGGACATTATTTACAATCATTACTTACCTCGATCCGGTCCAAACTCTAGCCCGCGATGCCTCGCCCGCACGAATCGACCTCCGGATGCTCCAAATCTAGCCGCAATCAGTACATAATTATTAAAATATGCTAAGGGAGCGAAGCCCACTCGAAAATATCCAATTTAATATCAAAATCCCGAAATTGCTCACACCCGGCCCTCGGGCCCACGTCTCGGAATCCGGCAAAAGTTACATAAATAGAAACCTCGTCCTCACACGAGCCTATACATACCAAGATCATCAAAATCGGACCTTCATTGCCCCTTCAAATTCCCAATCAAAAGTCTAAATTTCCAAGCCCTAGTTCTTCACCTTTTGGCTTAATTTTTCATGGTTTACTAGGTGGAATTCACATATTAATCGAGTTTTAAGTTCAAGAATCTTACCTCCAAGTGATTCCCCTTGAATCCCTCTTCAATCTCCTTCAAAAATCTCTAAAAATGACCAGCTATGGAGGAAATAAGCCTCAAATCGCGGACAAGACGAGCTTAAAACATTCTGCCCAGGCATAATTTTCTTCATCGCGATCGCAGGAAAACCTTCGCGATCGCGAAGCACAAAAACTCAGCTCTCAAAATTTACCCTATGCAAACGCAATAAAAACCCTGTGAACGCAATGCTCTGCCCTTATACTCTACGCGATCGCGGACCCCATGCCGCGTTCGCAATGAACAAATAGCATCCAAGACCCCTGGCCCGCTTAACTCTATGCGAACGCGACCACCTCCCCGCGTTCGCGATGACCCAGCTCCTCACACTATGCAATCGCAACTCCGACACCGCGAACGCATAGAATAAAAATGGACTGCCCCTCAAAAATCTCTAGGCGATCGCGAACCCTCGTACGCGATCGCAATGAACAAAAATACCTGCAACTGAAGCCTGAAAATCTGCAACTCTCAAAACATGAAATTGGTCTGTTTAACCACTCGAAACTCACCCGAGGCTCTCGGGAGCTCAACCAAACATGCCAACATATCCCATAACATCATTCAAACTTGTTCCAACCTTAGGAACACTCAAAACAACATCAAAATACCAAATTTGCATCGGATTCAAGCCTAAGAATCCCAAAATCTTCTAGATTACGCTTTTGATCAAAAACCTAACCAAACCACGTCCAAATGACTTGAAATTTTGCACACACATCCCAAATGACACAAAGGAACTACTGCAACTTCCGAAATTTCATTCCGACCTCTATATCAAAATCTCGCCTATCAACCGGAAAACGCCGAAATCTCAATTTCGCCAATTCAAGCCTAAACCTTCCACGACCCTCCAAAATGCATTCCGATCATGCTCCTAAGTCCCAAATCACCTAACGGAGCTAACCAAACCATAAAAATTCCGATCCGAGATCATATACAAACAAGTCAAATCTTGGTCAAACCTTTCAAATTCCAAGCTTCAACTGAGAACTGTTCTCCCAAATTCATCCCGATTACCCTGAAAACCAAAACCAACGATTTACATAAGCCATAATCCCTCACACGGGGCAAGTCATGCCCGAGAACTGACGAACCAAGTGCAAAAGCTCAAAACGACCGATCGGGTCATTACACATGTGGTCGTACATAGTATTCTTATATCCCCAAAACGCTTAAAATGATAGTAGTCATGGCGAGTATTGCTTACAAGGCTGTATTTGATTGATCTACCATTTTTTAGGCCAATTGGAGTCCGTTAACTTAACTCAAAAAAATCATCATGTATATGAACACATGAACAAATAGACATAATCATTAATTCCTATTTGCACTATATGATATTTTTTGAGGTTACTCTTTCAATTTTGCCCTTATTTGTCCAATGAGCTAAATATTATGAATTTTTGCAGACAAATTTTGCTCAAGATGGTTCGGGCACGTGCAAAGGAGAAACCTTGATGCACCAGTAAGGAGGTGCGAGCGGTTGGCAGTGGTGGGTGCGAGGAGAGGTAGAGGGAGGCCTAAGAGGTATTGGGGGGAGGTGATCAGGCAGGACATGGTACGTCTGCGGATTTCCGAGGACATGGCCCTTGATAGAAAGGTCTGGCGGTCTAGCATAAGGGTTGTAGGCTAGGGGGTAGTAGTTCTTTCCTTACTTCGTTCCGGGGGTGAGGCGGGGCTGGATTACGGTAGACCTTAGATAGCTTGCAGTTTAGGCTGAATACATTCTGTACTTGCTGTTTATCTTGGCCCTGGGCCTCAGATACTGGTTACTGTTATTGCATGTCTTTCATCTCTTGGTTGTTATGCTTTCATTACTATTACGGTTGCTACTGGAGTTACTAATGAGTTGTCTTTTCTTTTCTTGTTTTCTTTTTCTCTGAGCCGAGGGTCTATCGGAAACAACCTCTCTGCCCTATCGGGTAGGGGTAAGGTCTGCGTACACATTACCCTCCCCAGACCCCACCTGGTGTGATTTTACTGGGTAGTTGTTGTTGTTAATTAATCCTCATACTCTTCACATTACATAGAATTCATCAATTAACATGGAAGAGTCATAACAATATCAGAATAAGTACAAACAAGGACCCACGGTCATGCTAGACACCGGTGTATAGATACTCGTCACCATGCCTATACACCGTACTCAACATTTAGCAATTAGCAAACAACACTCTAATCCTATTCCCTCAAGCCAAAGTTAGATCGAACACTTACCTCGAATGCTCCAAACTCAACTCAATCCTCTAGTATAGCTTTACCCCTCGAATTCACCACCAAACCGCTCGAATCTAATCACAATTACTTGAATGTATTAATAAATGCTACTTGAATCAATTTTAATGCATGAAAATGAATTTTCCAAAGTTTGTTCAAAAATTCCCAAAATGCCCCCGGGCCCACATGGTCAAAACCCGAGGTTCGAACCAAAACCCGATTACCCATTCCCCCATGAATTCAGATATATAAGTTATTTTGGAATCGGACCTCAAATTGAGGTCCAAAACCCCCAAATTTAGGAACCCTAGTTCTACCCTAAATTCCCAAATTCCCCCATTAAAATCCTTGTTTTGAAGTTTGAAATTATGTTTAAGGATGTTAAGGAGTATAGAAATCAGTTAGAAATCACTTACCAATCGTTTTGAAGAAGTAGAATCGTTTGGAAAATCGCCTCTTATGTTTTGGGTTTTGAAAAAGTGAAAAATGACTGAAAATCCCGACTTTATATACTGTACTGTGACTTGGCGCGGACCACACAAAAATGCCCCGCGGCCGCGCCGAGGAAGGGTGGGGAAACCACTCTCTGAACCTACCCAGCGCGGACCGCACTGATTTGGTGCGCGGCCGCGCTGGTTGAATGAAATCCCAAGGCCCCTCTCTGAATCTTCCAGCGCGGACCGCGCTGATATGGCACGCGGTCACGCTGGTTGAATTGGGAGTCATTGGCCCTCTGAACCCAGCCACGCGGACCGCGTAAAAGTGCACCGCGGCCGCGCGGACCGCGCGGAAATGACCGCGGCCGCGCTGGGGGCCTGCAACACCTAATACTTTTAAGTCTAAGACCTCCCGGGACCTACTCAAAACTCACCCGAGCCCTTGGGGCTCCAAACCGAACATACATATAATCTCAAAAACATACTCCGGACTCATTCGTGCGATCAAATCGCCCAATTAACATCATGAATCATCTATTTGGGTCTCAATACCCATGAATTTCTTTCCAATTCCCATAAAACATTAAGTTAAGCTTTTCCAGCTCAAAACACGTCAAATGACGTCCAATNTCTATCGGAAACAACCTCTCTGCCCTATCGGGTAGGGGTAAGGTCTCCGTACACATTACCCTCCCCAGACCCCACCTGGTGGGATTTTACTGGGTAGTTGTTGTTGTTGTTGTTGTTGATCTAAAGGATGACTTAATTTAAATAATGGCATAAAATAAGGGATCTTTACATGAATAGCCGGTCATGTTCACTGTTTACTTTTTCTAACCATATGCATAGATTATATATTAACGATACACATATAATACACAAATTATGCTTATATTATACCTCCATGCTATTTTTAATTTAAGCGGTTGAGTGAACGGCTATTTGGGTTAATTATTCATAAAATAAAGGTTATTTGTGCAAAAACACCATTACTGGCCAGGCTCTACTAGACCAAATACAAAAAAAGCCCAAAATACGTACTGATTCATCAGCCCATTAACTCACCTCCATATAAAGAAACCCTAATCACTCCTCTTCAAAAACCCTAGCCTCTTCCCATTTTACTCCGTTAGCTGTTTAGCAAGAGAAGAGAGCAAAAAAATGGTGTCAGGTTCAGGGATCTCGGCAAGGAGGGTGGTGGTTGACGCTCGCCACCATATGTTGGGACGATTAGCTTCGATTTTGGCTAAGGAATTGTTGAATGGACAGAGAGTTGTGGTTGTTAGGTGCGAAGAGATATGTTTATCAGGTGGACTTGTGAGACAGAAAATGAAGTATTTGAGGTTTCTTCGTAAGAGGATGAATACTAAACCTTCTCATGGTCCTATTCACTTTCGTGCTCCGTCTAAGATCCTCTGGCGTACCATCCGTGGGTTAGTTTTTTGATTTTTTTTTTTTTTTTGTTTTGGGTTTTAATTGATGATTTGTTTTGCTGATGGTGTATTAATTTTGTGATTTGTAGTTTCAGTAATAACACTGTGTGTGCGCATTTGTTATTTGTAGATTTAGTAGTAACTATGTTATTCTCTAGTACTGAGATATGGAGGGTGTGTGTGTGTGTGTGTGTGTTTTTGTGCCTCTGTGTGTGCATTTGTTATTTGTTGTTTTAGTAGTCACTCTGTTATTCTCTAGTACTTAGATGTAGAGTGTGTGTGTTTGTGTATGTATACACATTTTGTACTGAATCTACAAGAAAACTAATGCACACACAGAGTTATTACTTAATCTACAAATCACAAAGCACTGTCCTGAATATGTGTGTGTGTATATATATATATGTATATGTACAAACACATATGCATGTATACACAACTAATGAAATGAAAATTAAGAAGCCGGGAATCAATCAATTCCATCAAATTGTTGCTAGTAGCATCATAAATAGAGCGTTTGGGATATACATTCTTTTTATTGGATGGAGGAATACTAGGCTAAAACTTGTAAGCACTATAAAAACTTTATAGAATAAAGAAAAAGACTGAATATTCAGTAGTTGGAGATTCATTGGAAGTGTGAAATAAGAAAAAGACTGAATATGTAGTTGGAGATTCATTGGAAGTGTGAAATAAATTAATCTTTTTTTCTTGGGCATGATGTACTTTTATGTATGAAAATTATCTGTTTTAATACTGGCCTGGTAGATATTACTTAGTGTTGTCCTGTTGGTGTGGAAAAAAGATTTCCTGTGTGTGAGATTTTAGCTGGTGTCTATATAAAGATAAAGATTGTCCACTTTTTCAAGTCCATTTTACCGAGTTTGTGGGAATCCACATGGAAGATGTTTCAGAACTTGCTGCATTGACTCTTTCATCTGAGTATATGTCAATGGAGAATTTGTACAGTTTGCAAACTGAATTTGTTCAAGGGATTCATGAATTATGGATTAAGCATTTATACCATTATTTTGGTGGTCGAGTTATTGTGGATGGATAATGTAAATTCTGCTCTTGTTGATTTTTTTGCTCTCTGCTGTGTCTGATCGGATCTATGTATTTTATCTTAGGATGATTCCCCACAAGACTAAGCGTGGAGCAGCTGCACTTGCCCGCTTGAAGGTTTATGAGGGTGTTCCACCACCATATGACAAAATCAAGAGAATGGTCATTCCCGATGCTCTCAAGTGAGTTGCTGTGCAGGTGCTTTACTTTAATGTAATATCAATGTTGCTGTTAATACTGAAGTGTTTGCCTCTTTCGTAAATAGGGTATTGAGGCTCCAAGCAGGACATAAATACTGTCTCTTGGGCAAGCTTTCATCAGAGGTTGGATGGAACCATTATGACACTATTAAGGTGAGCTTTCGCCTTTCTATTTGACCTACCTTGATTATTTTGAATAATAAGGATATACAAGGATATCAAGCTATCCTGCACGTATCTAAGATATGAAAATTGTATGACACTTGTGTTGTGCTTCATCTCAATGTACAGCCACTATTTTCAGAAGTTTGACTCTTCTGTCTTCGTGTTATTGTGAATTTAGATGGTTGTAGGCTTCACATTGCTAATTCCACTTTATGCCCTCTGTTTACCTAGTTGCATTACTAATGGAAATATGGTTTCATTTCGTTTGTTATCCGTGTTTCCGTCTTCCTTACCACGTTCCTCGACTAGTTGCTTACTTCTCTCTTGCAAACATGATTACTACAGGAACTTGAGAACAAGAGAAAGGAGAGAGCCCAAGTTGCATATGAGAGGAGAAAGCAGTTGGCTAAACTGAGAGTTAAGGCCGAGAAAGCTGCTGAGGAGAAGCTCGGTCCACAACTTGCAGTTATTGAGCCTATTAAGTATTAGAGTGCAAACTTAGTAGTTATCTGAGGTGAAATTTTGCTGGAGATTGAGATTTCAGCTTATCTGTTTTTTTAAAAGTTGTACCGCATGGTTTAGTATTTTGCTTCTAGCAATATTTGAGCAGACTTAAATTGTTTTAACTGTCTTTTTGAAGTTACAATTCTCTCATGGTTTTATTGATAAAACTTTGCTCTCTACTCCTTGCTAGTTTGCATATTTTCTGGGCTTTGGCGATAAGCCTCAGTGACGTTATTTCAATTACAATAGCAAGTTTCAACCCCTAAAACTCATTGTCTCTGGTGATATTTTGGTTTATAATCCTTAGCTAAAACTGCAAGACCGCTTTAGTTTGCACCTTTGAAGATCCAAATCGTACTATCAACCTATTACTATGTAGGTGTCAAATCAACAAACTATTGTTACTCTGGCAAAATATATAGTTTACCCATCAACCTTGCACCTAAATCCTTGTTACACACTTGTTGGTCACGGGTTTAACGTTATACACCAAACCTTTCAAAAGTGTGTCAATGACACACCACTTTTAACCAATGACAGACACGAGTTTTACGTTGAATGCAGGCGAGTGAATAACAAAAATATGTATTTGAAGCCTCATTTTAGCGCCACATATCCAGTTTTTTTCTTCATTTTTTCTATCATCATCTTCATTGTTAGGAACATAAAGAAACAAGCAACAACAATGGTTAAGAAATCACATGAAAAGAAACAAAACAAAAAAAAAAAACCCGAGAAGAAATCGAAGAAAACCCAGCAATGGTTAAGAAACCCATTATCTCGATTTCTTGACTCGCAAATCCAAGCTAGCGTTTGGCCATAGATACCAAATTTATTTTGAAAAATCTTATTTGGGTGAAGTTTGGTTTGAAGATGAAAATGTGTTTGGACATACGTTTTCAAAACATATTTTCCAACTTTATTTTGGAAAAACATGTATATAATTCCCAAGTTTTGGAATTTTGGCCACTGATTTTGGGATTTGAGATTTGGGATTTGGCCAAAATATGGGCAAAATTTATGGCCAAACATGAGTTTTGAAAATAAATTCCAAATTTATTTTGGCAAAACTCAAGGTCAAACGGGGCCCAAATCCTCCTAAATTGGGTTGGTGAAAATTGATACAAAATCAACCCAACAAAATCACCGATTCTAGGTGAAACAATAGTTTTTTTAGTGATTGTCGGCCTAACATAAGTATATCATAGTGATGGTTTACCAGCAAATATTATGGTGGGCTAGTAAGTATCCCTTTATCCTTAACGAGACGTTTCGGATTCGAACTTCATGTACGGAGTCCCCTTTGATAGAGAGCACTTCACCCTCGAGATTTTTTGGATTAATTGAAAAGTGGGACTTTACGGATTAATAGGGCCTCAAAGCGGGTACCGGATATAGAAATCAAAAATAAATTATCATAATGATGGCTCATCTCGTGAGCAAATCCATATCAAAGCCACTTCCCTTGATTAGGTACTACCATTATTCACGTTCATACTTTCTAAATAATTGCAGATTCTATGCCTTTAAGTAGGTTTTTTATTTAAAGCACCCATGCTTTATTCTTTTTTTACATTTTATAAAATTCATTTCCTATTTTGGTTAGAAAATAATCTACTTTCCATATTTGCAATCCTCCTCACCATTCACTTTCCACGTTAGACTCCAATCTAAATTACAAAAATCACTTGGAGGATCAATCAATGGAAATTTAAAAATTTACCAAATCTTCCCCAAGAAATATTTTTTTAAAGAAAATTAAAAATAATACTTAAGAAAATGAACCTAAACTCTTTAAGAAAATTACTTAACATATTAGAGCAGATTTTGCAAATCATTTGAATTATTTCCCCGTTGAAAATTTTTCTTTACTTAGACTCATTTTTTTCCATTTTAATTTTAACTCCTTATATAGAGTTGAATCCAAGTAGTGGTTTTACTTGTTCTTCATCTTTTATTCATATTATTCATACTAAAACAACTTCATTTTTTTGTTCTAGAAATGGCTTCTTTTCAATGGTTTTTCTTCATAATTCTTTATATTTATTTCATGAGTTTTACTGAAGGAAATGCAAGATTTCACAGAGTTTTTCATAGGAAAAAACAAATAGTAAATTTACCAACAGTGTATGTTGATCCATCTGGCCATGGAAATTTCACAACAATTCAATCAGCCATTGATTCTGTTCCTCAACATAACCAAAATTGGATCTGTATTTACATTAAAGCTGGAAAATATAGGTACTCTTTTCTCACTTCACTTAACATTTTTGTTCTTTTGATGATTTCTTTTAGTCATATTAATATTCTTACTTTTATGTCCAATTTGTTACTAGATGTCTTGTAGTGTGTTTAGAGATTTATATGCCGGTAGAAAATATAGTCAATTTTTAATGTTAGAAAAACTATTTTTTTTGCATTGTTGGACTGAGACAGATTTATATAAAGTGACGTGGATAAATAATATTCATATAGTCTTGGAGCAACTGTAAAGTCATCTTCGTCTGATCTATAAGTTACCGGTTCGAGCTGTGGAATCAGCCATCGATGCTTGCATTAGGATAAACTGCCTACATCACACCCCTTATGATGCAGTCCTTCTCTCGACACTGGTCGAGCTGTAAAATCAACCGTGATGCTTGCATTAGGGTAGACCGGTAGACTGTCTACATCACACCCCCTTAGGGTGGTGCGGTCCGTTCTCGGACCCTTCGTGAATAAGGAATACTTCCTCACACCACCTTAGGGTATGGTCCTTCCTCGGACCCTTTGTGAATGCGGAATACTTCGTGCACCGGGCCTTCCCTGGTGCACTCTACGAGCTGTGAAATCAGCCATCGGTACTTGCATTAGGGTAGACTATCTACATCACACCCTCTTAGGGTATGGTTCTTTCCGGATTCCTGCGTGAACACAGAATGCTTAATGCACTAAGCTGCTTTTTTTTTTTTTTGGCCTACATCAATAAGCGTAGTTGTTGTTGTTGTCGTCGTAATTTTCAATCACTATTCACATGTATGCAGGGAACAAGTAAAAATACCTCGAGAGAAGCCATATATATATCTCAAAGGAGAAGGAAAAAGAAAAACAAACGTTACATGGGATGGTCATAATTCAATTGCTTCAGATGCTACATTCATTTCTGAAGCTGATTATACAATTGCTAAAAGCATAACCTTTATAGTAAGGCCAAAAAAAATTTAAAATTTCAATATTTTGTTGTTTCTGTGTGACCTATAAGTCACGAGTTCAAGCCGTGGAAGTAGTCACTAATATTTGCTGCTGTCTATGTCACACTCTTTGGGTGCGGCCCATCCTGGGCCCTGCGTGACCGGAGAATACTTTGTGCACAGTGTTGCATTTTAATTTCTTGGAATTTTAATTAATTTTATTTTATAAATTTTATGTTTATTTCATGCAGAATTCTTATAATTTTCCACCAGAAGGCAATATTAATCCAATGCAAGCAGCAGTGGCTGCTATGATATCTGGAGATAAATCAACATTTTATAGGTGTGGATTTTTGGGATTGCAAGATACATTGTGGGATGTTCAAGGAAGGCATTATTTTAAGCTTTGTACAATTGTTGGAGCTGTTGATTTCATCTTTGGTGCTGGTCAATCGATTTATGAGGTAAAATAATAATTGTTTCTTACTATTTTAGAATTTAAAGGGGGCATTGGCGTAACTGGTAAAGTTACTTCCAGGTGATCAGGAGGTCACGGCTTTGAGCCGTGGAAATAACCTCTTGTAGAAATGTAGGGTAAGACTGCGTATGATAGGCCCTTGTGGTCCGATCCTTCCCCGGACCCCGCGCATAGCCGAAGCTTAGTGCACCGGGCTGCCCTTTTTTACTATTTTAGAATTTCAGTTATATATATCGACACTTCAATAATTTCTTATACTATCAATTTATCTTAACCTATTATAATAAGTTTGGCTTAATTTGTTCTTAAGAGTGAGTCAAATCTTTCACGGAATTATTTGATAATAAAACATTAGAGTTTAAGTTCTATACACTAATATTAACTTACGGCAACATCAGGTAACTCTTCGTTACAAAAACAGTAACAACTTGCTAAACCAATTAAATTGAATTGATAGCTTAAAAATTATTACATTTGTCAGTATATATAAATTAAATATTAACATTAGCCTATCATTTTCCACAAAAAGAAAAGATAGAGGGTGAGAAGAATATTACTAATTACTTTATTTGGTCTACTTTAATTGATTTTTTGGTCGCTTTCACACATATTAAGGGATCCATCTTTTAGCATTAATAAATAATGAAATTGACCATATGACCATATTAACATTAATTTGTTCCTTGAAAATATAACAATACTGCTAGGCTCTTTACTCTAAGGGCAATTTTATAAAAAAGGAGTTAATTCATTCTTGATATCTGGAAAAAATCAAATATTGTGGAACACGAAAAAAAAAAGGTAAAAAATTCAATTAAAGTGGACCGGAGAGAGTAATAATTAGTAATTATTTTCATTTCTTAAAAGAAGTAAAGCTTGGATTAGATAGGCGGTTTATATCACACTGAGTGCAGTCTTTCAACGGACCCTTCGTTAATGCGGGATCCCTCGTGCACCGAGCTGTCCTTTTATTAAAAAGAAAAAGAAGTAAATCACGTATTAATTTTTTGTTTGTGTATATGCAGAGATGTACAATATCAACAAATGCAGGAGCCTTAGAAAGCTTGATAGGTTATATTACAGCACAAGGAAGAATAAGCCCAAATGACGATAGTGGTTTTGTTTTCAAAGATTCTGCAGTATTTGGCACAGGAGTAACTTTCTTGGGGAGGCCATGGAGAGAGTATGCTAGGGTTCTTTTCTATAACACCACCATGACAAATATTATCGTTCCTGAGGGTTGGGCTGCTTGGTCTTTTGTTGGCCGAGAGTAAGTTCCTTCCTTTCCTATACTCTTGTATGAATTCTTTTAGTTTAACTATAACGACCGAGCGTTGGAGCAACGGTAAAGTTGTCTCTATGTGGTCTATACGTCACAGGTTCGAGTCCAGGGTTCGGCCATTAATATTTATGTCAGCATATATAGGCTGCTTACATCACACCCTCTTGAGGTACGGCCCTTCCCCGAACCAGGGGTGTCAACGGATTAGACACCTCTTAGCCGTAAAATTAAACCGTGTTCCTCGGTAAA